CAATTGTACCATTCAATGATTTATAGTAATTTGAAAGAGTTGTGCAACTATCACAATTTAATTTTTGCACATTTTTCATCACCCCATTTGCAGTCACTTCTGGCTCCTTTTTGGCAACAAGGACATCTGGGCCATCTTGTTTCACCATCTCCTTGGAGAGATGACCCCCCAAAAAAAGACCTAAAGGAATTCATTGAAATGAAGAAATTTCTTTGTATCTTCCACCAAAATACCCATACCCCCTCCCTAGACTTGGGTTACCAGCCTTGGCCTTGATCTACTGGAGCACCCCTCATGGGAAGTACAACACAGGGGGAGGCCTTGGGAGCTCATCTAGCCCTCATGCATGTAAACAAGCCTGCTGGAACTCAGAGCTGAAGCTGTGGTTATGCGTTTCTGGGGAAAAGCAGTTAAGAACAAGGCCTCTTGAGTCAGAGTGCCCAGGTTCCAATCCACAGGTGCCATTTATGAGCTGTGTGGCATGAAACAAGCCATGCAATGGCCCAGAGCCTGTTTCCTTACATGTCAAATGGAAATCAAAATAGCACAGCTGGTGGAGTTGTGATGGAAATAAATCACACTCAGGAAAAAGCATTATCCAAGTGCCTGGCTCATGACTTGTAACATCAATGTTACTCTTACTAAAGTCTGATCAGATTTTCAAAGGGGGTCCATGAGCCCGAAAACATTCAGAACTCTCACTACATAGAAGTTGGAAGGTGCCAACCATGATAGTGTGCCACAGAGGGGAGAGGGCGGTCACCCAGAGCAAGAAGATACGGTTGGGAAACCCCAGGAGAAAGGAATGGAAGTCACATAAGTGAGGAGAGACAAGGAGGCAGCAGGAAGGAGTTATGTCAGGAAAGAGAAGTGCAGATGGAGCGCATCCAGTCGTTAAGTCGACTCCATGAGCACCTCTCAGTGGCTCCAGGTTAAGAGCAAGCGGTTGAGATAGGGGATAAAGCCAGCTGGAGTGTGATGGCAGGGGTGTGGGTGTGGGGCCGAGGAAGAAGGGAAACCTGGAGAAAACGTTGGGAGGAACCTTCCTGATGACCCTGTGATCTCAGGACGCCCTCTATTCTTCACAGAAGAGCCAAATGTAGGTGCTGGGAACTCAGGGCTAAAGAGCCACACGCAGGGCTGGAGTTATGGCTGAGCCTGGTGTCTTGCCCAACCATCACTTTGGCTTCTGAGTTTATGTCCTCATCAGAAGGTACGCGTATCATTTCTTTGGGCCTTGTGGAAGGCATCTGGAAATATTGCCAAAGGGGCTCTGGGGCCAGCTGGTCCCAGTGGTGTTCTACCAGCGGGTATGAGTTCTCTGTTCCCGTGTGTGTGGGCACTCTGTCTTGCAGGAAGCAGATGCTGCTACCCAGGGGTAGAGGACATGGCGGCTGGCCTCCCCCACAGCCAGACAAGTAGGTGTCACTTATAAAAACACAACACACATTGGGTTTTAATGAGAAAATAATTGTATACTTGCATTGAATGCCTCACAATCACTATAAAACCAAAGCAGGATAATAACATTTAAGTGGTTAACATACACAGGAAAGCCAGATACAGAGTGTAATTTTCAAACACAGTATTGCTGCTTTTTTCCCTCCTCCAAAAAAAGAAAATTATATAGATAGATAGATAGATAGATAGATAGATGTACATATCTATCTATCTATCTATAATTTGGGTAAAGAGTAACAGAAGATCAAAATTGGCAGCTCACTGAATGCTTAAAATTCAGCAAATTGATTCTGTAACTAAAACTGGATATATTCACCATCTCTAACATGTATGCTATTTTTCCCCAATACATAGTTTAATTAAATCCATTCTTTAGTTGGAAAAATTATCTTCAAAGAGTCAACACTGCTTTAGTGTTGTTATTTTATATATATGTGTGTGTGTGTGTGTGTATACGTGGACAATGACCTATATACTGCTTATATATTGTTGCCTGGGGCGGGCAGCATGCAGGAGTATGAAGAGGCAGGGAGATTGCATTGTGTTATCCAAGAACACAGCCCGGCCTCCTGCCACTGACAGACCCTGTTCCCAAGATTTCTGGATGAGAAAGCCAAGGCGTGTCAGTAGGTCATCACCTCCAGGAAAGTGACATCTATAAACACTGCAGAGTGGAATACTTTCAGTTAAGTTTTAACATCTACGGAATCTAAACATTCGTTATAGTTGAGATTAACAAGCTTGCGTGCTCTTGGGGGTGGGGACGAGCATCAGAGGCCAAGTGTTTCCCAGGCCTCTGTCCCTCCATAGATCTGGAATAAGTCTCCTCTAGGCTCTGTTCCATCTTCACGAAGTTACCAGGGTTCATCTGGGATCCCAGAGCCTAGCACAATGCTATGTACAAAGCGGTGGCCGAATGTTTCCTGAAGGAGTAAAAAACTCAAGAGCGCAGAGAAAAGCTGGCTCTTCCCCGGGAACTGTAATTTACATTTTGATAGGATCTTAAGTGAGTGGGGCAAGGGAACCACTAGCAGGGATCCGGAAGGCAGCACGAGGATGAGCTGGTCAAGATGCAGTGCGCCACAGGGAGGCCAGTGTGACGGTTCCTGATCTGTGCATGGAGGGTGGACCGGCGACCCACCCAACGTTCTACACTATTCCTTAAGTAAGGAGTGCTTCTGCTTCAGTCAAAGTCAAAAATCAATTTGCCTGCCTTTAAAGCTATTCAGTTCATTGTGTGACCTCCTAAACGTTCCTTTCAGCTGCAAATTCTTTTCTCCAATGTGTGTTTAATGTGAGTAGTCATTTCTGGCAAAAACAAGAAAACTTAAGGTAAGTCAAGAGAACTACTTCCTCTCATGAAAAATGAGGAAATTAGCCCCCATCCTCTCCACGATCTCTACCAGACCCTGGAGTCCAGAAAACATGAAGCACTTTTTCTTTTTTGAGCAACCCCTAGAACTACACTGTTCTTAGCCACCCTGGGGCTGTGCCCTGGGGCACCCACGCTGCTGCCTCCTCCCTGTGCCCACCTTGGGAACACCCCTTTGTGGCTGGGTTCTCAGCCCAGGCCTGTAGGACTGCTAGCTGGAGGTCCTCAGGCAGAGACACCTCCCAGGACTTCTAATCTAACCCAGATCTCAGGCTCCTGGAGAATGCCAGCCTTCTCCATTGGAAAGTGGATTCCTCACAGTTGGGGATCTTAACCGTTCTGAGTTCTTTCTGGACAGCACAGTTTGTCGAATTTCATTCAGAGTGTTCAGAGAATGAGCCACACAGAGAAGGTACCAACTGCCCATGGGCTACGGTGGGTTATCATTTGTAGAATTTGTCTTCAAATTAGAGATTCCCTTGGCGGTTTCCAAGGATCCTTGTACGTTATTAGACAGTTCCATTCTTACTGTGTGCCCACCGTTTGTCTGTGAATAAACTTGCCCCCAAATTCAACACGAGTCTAATAAAAGAGGCAAACACAATGTGCATAACATCACGTACACATTTTGTGGAAATGCTACTTGTCAGAGTAATCTGTTAGAGCGCATGACAAACAGTATGAAAACAAAAATGAATTCTAGTGAGGTCTGACTGAATTATTGCTTTTTTTTTAAAAAAACAAAACGAAACAAAACAAAAAACATAGTTTAAAGCAAAGGAGGAAAAAGAAAAAGGGCTGGTGAATTTTTCTGTCGTGGCCAGAACTGAAAATTTTTCTCATTCAGAAATTTAGGGCACTTAGCTGCTGACTGCCCTGATGGTATTGCTTTAAATGACAGACAGTAATGCTGGTGTCCACTAGACAATACTGAGCATGAATACAAAGCATGACAATAAATATGATACTTTCCTATGTGTCAAGTTACAAAACCGCTCAAAACTTTGCAATTGGGACTCATGCAAATTCAATGTAATACTACAAATACTGCATCAGCTTGGTGCCTTTACGCTCCTTTTCATAAAAAAGGAATTCTCATTCACTCCTCAAGCTGCCAAACAGCTCTGGAAGAAATAACTGTACATCCATGTCCTGTGATCATTCTGGAATTTTAACTTTCACATGTACTTTCACTCGTGAACATGCGTACTTTACACAAACACACAGAGTTGCACACCCATAAGCATGTACACAACCACGCACACCCCATCCTTAGGACTGGCAGCTGATTCCAAGCCTGCACTTAGATTTCTCTTCTATGTGTTTCCCTATCATCCTGAAAAACAGTGGATGCTCAGCAAAAATAACGTCTCCTCATTTCCCTACTCCTTCTTCCTCTCTCGCTACCTTCATGACCTTTCTTTCAATTTTCCTTTCTGACTGCTCCAAAGTCACCCGACATTCTTCCTACTTTCTGTAAGGCCTGCTTTATTATATAAAATATAGTTATAAACACCTTTTTATTTCTTGTCATCTATCCCTCTAAGGCAGAGTTCACCTTTTTTTCAACTATTGCCACTCTAAAAATAACCCTACCATCTTGAACCGAGTGGTCCAGTGGGTACAGATTTTGTACATGTATATATTCCCCATCCCCGTCATAAAAATAGTTGTTGCTCACAAAAGACAGCTTTAGTCTGAAGAAACATAAGTATGAAAATGTGTTCTCACAAATGGAAGACCAGTCAATACTATAAGTAGACAAGACCCTAAAGCTAAAATAACCCATTTGGTTTGGCTTTTCCCCCTTGCTCAAGCTCCCAGCATAGAATAGATTGTGTTTACAACGTGAAGAAATATTGTCTTAAAAACATGGATTTTATGTATTGCAATCATTAACTGCTCCCGATTAAAAACAATTAAATGGAAGAGAAAAGGAATCATAATGGCCTCTTCTGAGCGAATATGGACAGAACCATCACTCATTTTATGCCTGCTGGAGTAAACGGAGTTAACCCGACATCTCCGGTGCACCAAGTGTTGCCTAGGAAACAAGCAGAGAGTGGCCTGTGACAGGTAGACCAACCGGCCCAGGTCCTTCTGCTCCCAAGGGCCCATCACCACCACTCCCTCTTCCTCTCACTCAGTGAGGCTGGTTCCAGTTCACCAGCACTCACCATGACGATTTCCTTGTAACTTCTTTGTCCTTTTTGAGCAATTGGATTGGTCCAAATCCTGACGATTCTTTGAGTCACAAAAGAAACAAACAAAAAGTCCTTTCTCTTTTGACTCCTGGGTGTCAGGTTTGATAAGTGGCCTTCCTTTCCACCATATTCATTTTCCATCATTGTCTATTGCAGCTTTTGGTCTATGTAGGATTGCTGAATTTGGTTGCACTTTAATAAATACTCCATTAAAATGCTTTGATTGCTTAATTGCTTGGTTTCTTGGCAATCCCAAGCACCAAAGAAGCTTCCTGGGTTGAAGGAAGTTCATTCGTTGTCCTCCTCCTCCTGGTTGGCATAGATGCCTGCCTCCCAGCGCAAAGCCAGCGCGCTCTTCCTTCGATTCACCCGTGTGGCCTCAAGGACCTGAAGGGAGAGGAAAAGACATGTAGAGTTCACGGCATGTTGATATGTACATGAACCAACTCCCGCTGTTTCTTTCCCCCTTTCCCCCTCAACAGCATCACATGATAGGGGAAAGTAATGAAGTGTCTGGGGCTGCTGGGAGGTAGGGGAGGCACCAGAGAAAAAGGTGAGTCTGGCTGTGTATTAATCTCATAGTTAAAATTCATTTAATTTTCATGAGCTGCTCTACAGGTTTCTTTAAACTAGACTTTACTCCGCACCAAGTGTTTTAGGTAACAGAACAGATACCATAGATCCCTGCTTCCCAAGAGATCTTCCTACGATGACGGAAATGTTCTGTGTCTGGGTTCTTCAATATGGTGGCCACTAGCTACATGTGGCTTTCAAACCCTTGAAATACAGCGAACGCAGCTGAGAAATGAAATATTTGATTTTATTTAACTTTAGTTTATTTAAAGGTAAATAGTTTTATATGTGAGTGACTATCCCATGGGACAGCACAGCTGGGGACTGACTGGTCTGTTCATAAAGAAACAGACCAGAAAATTCCAAACATTGGGACCAGGGAGGTTTCAAGCCATCAAACCTCGTGAACCCACATAAGCTCTGATCACATTTACATCATAAAAGTCAAGTCTGTTGTTGTTGCTATGTGTCATCAAGTAGGACCGACTCACAGTGACCCCTCCTTGGGTTTCCAAGGTGATATCACTGTGGAAGTAGATTGC